TTTCTTAGTTATAAATTACGGTGACCGGAAAAGTCGAGCCAATGACTCCTCTTATTAGTCCCTGCCCCCGTGAATGGACAGAAATGATCATGCTGGCAATCAAATTACCAACAATACAATTAAATTCTGTCCACTGCTGTTGTAGAAAGAGCTGACTTTTCTCCATCAAGCCATCTTGTCCTCATCCACATTTGACTTCGGGGAATTTAGGGGCCTTCAAAAACTAGGTTTGCGTTTAAATTTACGAGATATCATGATTTCTATATTCAAAGAAGAGACGATCCAAAGTCCAAATGGCAACGTTTTTGCCTTAACACCTTTTCTTGGACACACCCTCGCATTCGTTTTTCATTCAAAATCGTAGTGACTATTAAATGCGTACTTGGCCGATAGAATCACTTGCCCTGGTCCGCCGATGTACAAATCTGTGTTTTTAACCTCCCAGACACTTCTAGTACTATTTCATCGACATCGAATGGATGGAAGCCTTGGTCGGTCCGAGCATGTACCCGAAGCATTATACTGCAAAGGTGCGCTTCTTTCGCGCGGCCGTCAAAGCTAGGTCACACCGCAGCCGCCGCACACGACGTGTCAACCCGCGCTCTTTGACGGATGTCGTAGTTGTCGGTGTGGCATACGATTTGCCCCTTACTCGTGGCATTCAGCCTGAAGTAAAGGTAACCCGGACCTGGGCAAATCATTCGTTCCAACGATACTTAGTGGTACTGTAATGTGATTTCGAGATCGCGATGGGCGGCGCCGCGCGCGATGTGGGCGGGTTAATGTGGTTTCGACGGACGAGTGGAACGAACGCTCCCCTTACAGCAATGTCATGCTTCAATTATACCGACTTTATTGGCTAAAATATGTCGTATTCATTTCACCTTGCTCTACTAATACTTAACTAGAATGAATCTTAAAAAAGATAAGTAAAAAACTGAATCCGAGTTAAAAGTTAAATTCTTTTCCTTATCAGACGATTGGTACGGACCTATATGTCGATTTTGTATCAAACCGATATTTCCATATAGTGAAATATCGTAAAAAGTTTTAATTATATGATTTGCTGTTAAGAGACGTGTCAACTCATATTCGTTAATTCCGGTTTCAGATGAACTCATGAAAAGGTTATCAATTCCGGCAATTCTTTTTTAGTTGCTTGGAAATGAAACGGACACATATAATTGTACGAGAGATCAAGACGTATTTCAAGACCATTTGGTTACTTGTCGCTCCAATCCTCCTAATTCCACTCGTTTTTTGTGGTCAAGTACGTTTCCTCATTCAAAGAACTTTGCATTCGAGTATTCCAAAAATTCTTCCCTTCTAGATTCTACCCTCATCTGTAAAGAGTAAAAACACACTCCAAGGGTCCGCCTTATCAATTTACGCCTCCATCAAGTAAACAATGCTTTGCTAGAACCAAGTCATTTACGTTTTCGGCAGTTTTTGTGGGAGTTTTCCGCAATAAACGTCGTGAACCATCTTTGAGAGGTCATTTTAGTTAGCTTCAGGCGTACAGTCCGGAGCTCCCTACTGTCACCCCCCACCTGCCAAAATGCTGCGCTTTTCGTACCCACAACCTTTTGTATCGCTTACTACACTTGATATTCTTATTTGGCAGTAAATCTACACTACCGTATTACCTCGACAATACGGTATTTCCACAGGAAGGAAAATGTGCATACTGTATCCTGTTGATGTCATGTTACTGGGTCGGAGAAGTGGTTCCGTTGGCGGTTACGTCATTCCTTCCTCTTGTCATTCTACCAGCGCTTGGTGTCATGAAAATCAAGTCAATCGCCGAATCCTATCTTACAGTAAGTCTCTTACATGCTGCCGACTGATTGTTGCAATCAGTGGTCCATATTTTTGAGAAGTGACATTTCAGGACACAAATATGTTATTTGTGACAAGTTTGATGCTTTCGTTAGCTGTGGAAGAGTGCCATCTTCACAAAAGGATCGCTTTGAAAATGCTAACATTTGTCGGTGCGAAACCACAATGGTAAGTATGAGCTGCTACATAATCAACGTTCAGGATTCCAGAAAATTGTTCTTCAAGCAGCCCGCCAAAAGGCATTGGCTTAAATGCAAAAAGACGGGAGAGAGGGACGGGAGGGGCAAGGAAGAGGAGTGGGAGAAGGGTTGAAAGAACAATCGTAAACCAGCATGGCCTATGCAACCCCACAAGGGTATGAATTATTTCTCACCTCCTGTCTCCCGGAATGAGAAATCACGCCCTCGCTTAAAAAGAATTTGGGCAAGAAAGGAATCACAGTAATCCGCACGAAGTACTGCACAAGCATTTACTCTTACTCGAGTAAAGTCTGCGCATTCATTGACTAACGCTTGTGTGAAAATTATATGATGAAGCGATGAAGACAAGAGAAAACCAATTTCCAGGCTGCTGGCTGGTTTCATGATGATTACGTCTTTTATGTGAGTTCACTTATGGCATTCATTGCGACTAACAAACTGCTTGATAGTGTTTTACAGCGTCTAAAATAGAATATTTTAGACTAACTCTTGACTTTTTTATGCTAAACCCTCATTGCTATTGTAAAATTATTTTGCAGATCGCTGTGGATTTCGGATACGGCCTGTGCGGCACTGATGGCTCCCATCGCATACGCTCTTCTTGAAGCGATTATGGTTCACAAGATGCGGCCAGTATGTATGAATGGCGATGAAATCTCTATGCAGGATCACGGGGAGCACTCAAAACAGTGAGAAATATTCCTACGACTAAGCTATAAACACAGCTGGGTGTGGGTTTTTTACCCGAATGGCGTGCCGCGCCCCTCAACCCTCGTAGGGCCGGAGCGTTCAGTGTGAAGGTAAGATTTGAGTTTTCACAGATGATTACGGTAACTGCCGCGAAACTACAGTACCGTGCACGTGTGCAAATATGAGAATTCGGGTACAGAGCCGCCCGAAGCAGGTTCATACAAAATGCGGTGACCCTTACATGTTCCGTGTAGATGGCATTCGTACTTGAATCGGCCTCATATGGAAAGGTCTGTATGGTATGTCGTCAAATCGGGTTTGCAGCACTTAACCAAAAAGTGGACTCTATATTGTTGAAGGAAGGTAACGGAAGAGATATTTTTCAAATTATTCCTTCAAGTATTTATCTTGGAAGGATATTTTCAAAGTTATTCCTTCATATATTCATATATCTCATTGACTTTGAGGGGTACCATACAGATCAAAAAAAATGCTAACAACATAGATAATCACACCGTATAAATATAATTGTATTAATATTATTATTGCATTCATATTTAATAGCACAATAGGCTCACTGAATCTCGCCAAAAACTGGCTGTCATTTCTGAGTGAGATCTTTTTTCAGCAAATCGTCTGATTTGGACGTGTCCCGATTGTCAAAGCGAGATCAAGGTAATTATTTTCCTTCATCGTGATAGATTCGTTTGCTATCAGTGACAAATCATTTTGAGTACTGTCATTCTAAAGGTGGAGGTGGGCTGACAAAAAGTTGTGTTACCACCGCATGCTTGCTCTCTACTGATCGAGGGAGGAATAATTGGTCCATTATTCGATTTATAAAGCTACAAGTATTCGCAATTCAAAAACATCGCAGATTAGTTAACCCTTTAACGACAATACGGATTTCAACGTGACGCGCCCATGGGACCACGCTTCCCTCCTTTCGCGCGGAACTGGGTAGCACTGTCCCAGGAGGAAATTCTTTCACTGGCTCACTGAATTTAGCAACTGGTAAGAAGCGAGAGACTATGGTGGCATCCAGAATTAGGTGCCAATATCCCATGTCCCAGTCATAGTGGTACCCAACGGTGGGTGCCACAGTCGTCAGAGGGTTAACAGGCACCTCTGACGACTGTGGACGCATGGATAGACCAATACACTCTTTTACTTCCCCGACCCCTCCTAGCCTCCTCCTCCACACCCTCAGTTAATCATAGAAATCATAGAGTTTGGTTCTAGCATAGTAAATAAATGGTACTACAGGTTTTTGTAAATCCTTGATGTTGATCGTCGCCCATGCATCACTAATAGGGGGCACTGGAACAATCAACTCAACTGGTCCAAATCTTATCTTCAGAGACACTCTTGAGAAGTATGTACACTTTCTCTAGCTTTATAACTTTTCGATTTACAATGTTGCCATCCAAAAATATGCGAAAATCATAAAGTACTCCACATTTGGTAACATTCGGTGTACCGTACGTCCCATAAGTTTCTCCTTACCATCGAATCGCGAACAAAAGCATAATTCACGTCCAGGTCAAAGACGGGTAGCTCAGGGTTGGCCGTCCGAGCAAAGGTATCTCCGATATTGAGTCATTGCTCTGCTGTCACAACAGTAGTCGGTTTTATTCGATCGATATAAACAGGGCGGAGGTGGTGTAGTGGCAGTGGTGCACTATCACACACGCTTGGCCACGAGTTCGACTCCCGCACCGATATCCGCTTGGCCATAAAAGTTTTCCATCTCGCCGGGGTCGGCTAATTGGTGCCAGACTCGTTTGTGAGGATAAAAGCACCAACTCGTTTCGGCTCACCACGTCATTATAAGGGCCACTTCGAGGCACCACTACGATTCCGTATGGACGTTGAGTTGGCGTTGAGAAGCGCATCCCTGAGACTGGCTTGATTAACGCTTAAAGACTTTATTTTTTATCGTTCAACGATATTCTGATGTGTCGTAGAAAAGTCATGCAACTTCCGTCGTCTTCGCTTCCGACTTTTGAAACACCGATGGAAAGAAAAAACCCTGTAGCAGTACACCAACTCTCCTGATTCTGGTTTCGGGTCAGGATGTTTCCTCGGGGTCACCTTGTAGAAGTTTGATGGCGAACTTTTTGAGAGGAGCAGAAGTTAGTAGAACTACGCCGAAACAGAAAAAAATCACGCGAAAAATCTACTATGTAGACTCTTTGATTTAGGTTTTACCCAGGCGAGAACACAGGTATCAGTTATCTTTCCTGGATGGGATTTGCGATACCGCCAATGATTGGGTATATGTTCTCATCATGGATAGTCGTACAGGTAATTGTTTCAAGTGATAAACCTTGATGTGAGTCCAGAGACTGCCAATTCTAGAATTCGCTTTCAGATACAATTTCTCGGTGTACGACAAGTACTTCGCATGTTCAAGACATCTACAGAGGAGGAAGTGGTCGATGAGCAGTATATCCACAAAGCAGTACATGCAGCTTACAATGATCTTGGCCCCATGACGTAAATTTTATGACTAATTTTTTTGGTATCAGGTTGGCCGAGTGTCTGCCCCATTTTTGTATTTCACATACCTCAAAATGACTGCGCCCGAAAGACAAGCCAATAGTGATGGACATGATTACACTGTTTCGATCAGTAGCACTCTAGTACCGTTTGTCTATCTGAACTCAACTTGAGCGAGTTACCACGTGTACTGTGAACGGATTCTCTCCACTACCACTATTGATACAATGATGAAGGAAGTAGCAGTGAAGAAAGAGTTAGGCTGACTCATATGGCACCATCTCAAGGCTGTCATAGTGCTCGTCGTGTACGTTTGTTTGATTCCGCTCATTTGAGGAAAAACGCTGAGAGAGATCCCCAAAAATGTACACCTTAGATGATGATGTCGTCACCGTGGTGGGAGATGTGAATGTGCAAGCACATTGCAAGTGCTCAACAAGAGAGATATTGAGATACTTCCAACCCTACAAGCAACAGCTATGAACGTGAAGCCGGAGTTTGTGCAGCATGGTTGGATAGTACTTGCCAGATACCGCTCCTTCCAGATACTTCCTGTTCCCGATCTAAATCATTACTAGATGGAAAGAGATTCGAGACTACTTCTTCAGTTCAAATTGAGTTGATTCTTGCTTTGCCTCGCGCTAGCCTCCATTTTCGATACAATATAGTTTGGCCTATAATCGAAAAATGACCAAAGAAATATTTGGCCCTACGAAAAAACCCCATTCAACGGCTTGGGTTGTAGCCGGATTTGACCCAATTTTTTTGGCGTTCGGAAACACCGAAGAAGTAGCGAAGTGTTCTGCATGCTTTCCATTCTTGGCAATATTCAACAGGAGCTTGAGAACTTTCTGACCAGGGGAGGATCCCACGTCGAAGTGGCCATTTGGAATGAGACCTACACTGCCGGATGTGTTTTTGGATACTGAGTTCAAAACTGCTTTCCAAATGTGCCGAGCGCTTCTGTGAACGGAGTTATGAGGGTGGTTTCAAGGAGCTTAACATAAGAAAACTTAAATTACATGTATGCGCCTTTCTTCTCAACGGCGACTTGGTGTAGTGGTAAGCGTGACGCTCCATGTGCGGGAGACTAGGGTTCGGGTTTTGTGGAGGATGGAATTTTTGCATTATATAGAATTTTTCCCTTAGGGACTAGAAAATGCTCTCAATGTGATTTTATCACGTTTTATATCTTTTCATGCTTTTACTGATATTTATTCACATCATGTAATACCCTAAAATTCCATAGATAAGAACGGTTTGATTTACCGGTGAAAAATGAATTGGAAAAAATTGAAATTGAATGCAGTCACCCTTCTAACTTGATGGATGGATAAATAAAAATCGGAGGAGAAGTTTAGAAGAAGCTCCACCCCTCAACTCTGAACCCCGCCCACTTAATGGACAATTCACATAGAAGAATAGCGATTTTAAGGGACCGCTCTTATCTATGGAATTTTAGGGTACTTCAGTTTTACTCTCATGCCCCTTCACTCTATATCACAGTAGGATAAATTTTGCCACTTGAATGACCAAATGTGATACTTTACTTGTAACAAAGAACTTCTCACAATGGGAGCAAAGGATGAAAAGAACTTGTCACAGCCCAATGCTTCACAGTCGCTAACCCCAAATCAGAAGGGTAACAGTTGTGTAGGCATCCCAAAATCACCCGGGTGAGTATTAAAGTAACTGGCGCCATACCATGAATAAAAGAGGAATTTCCTAGATCTAGTAGCACAGAACTGAATGTAGACAAGCGATAGCAAGCGAAAATGGAGTTTCGTGTGACACGCAAAAGTTGAGATCATGAGCTATTACATATGAGGTGATGCGTTTAACCATGTTTCTGAAAGGATGGTCTAAAGATGCTTCTGTTGGCCGTATTAGCCTCGTGGAAGCCTCGAGAAAAGTGCCATTCCTTTCACCTGCTTTTTTGGAGGTGAGACGCACTGTATAGCTTTCTGGTCTGTGAATGATATCCACGAGTCCATTATCAACACTGCCAGTGTTGGTGGGTCCGGAGCTGCTACGCACCATCACACCCAATCTAGCACCAACACCCACTTTAGCATCATCATTGCTCGTCATATGCCTTGTTCTCGCCCGGAGCTCCAAATTTTACGCACGGAAGAATCTCCTACTCGGTAACAGGTAGGTAGGTAGGAGAAGGCATCAGCAAAGCATCAAAATTTCATAGAACGTGATAAAATCACCATGACGGTAGTTTCTAGT